GTAATTTAGTAGTGCAATCTTGAGAGAAATTGGGGCTAGCATTGCTGGAAAAGGAAAACCGGGGAATGTTATTACTGTTCACACTTTTCTCTCTCTTTCGTGACAGAATACTTCTAACCGTGTTTACCTTTTCTAGCAATGACAAGCAAAGAAGGATAACCGATTGGACTGGGGAGGAGTGGCACATTGGCAGCACACTACCGTCCAATCGGTAAGTATTTATAATGTTTAGTTATAAGGTATTTATTCGGAATTGGTTTAATTTGGTGGTAAAGTTATTCTATTATGTAATAAAGTATTTTGTTTTACAGGTTTTGTACATACGACAAATACGGGTTTTATTGTTCAACTAGAGGCCATCTAACATGTTACATTACGATTGTACGTACATGTGATTGTACATACATATCTATTGTAATTTGTCATATTATATTGATATGCAAACTGACTAAGTACATTCTGTTATAATATATTACTCTAGTAGCAGGGAATAGTTGAGTGTGCACTTCGATGTATACGATTTCTGACAACACAGGGTTGTTTGTTAGATCATTCTTAACCAAAATCGTTTAGGTACGCAATTTGTGTCGCTAGACATAACCCTACAGGGCAGATTTTCTAAATTACCCTCAGTCGCGCATACGAGATTTTTGTATTTCAGCTCCTGAAGGTCATAGAGACTTCAATTTTAGCTTAAAATTACCGCAATGGACATATTTATATACAAGTTATGAAGCAACATAAGGTCTCCAGTGCTTTGTTTTATAGATATTGACAAAAAACTGTTTTTTGGCTCAGCGAACCAAAAATGGGACTGAATTTTGGTAACTTGAACTAGGAAGATCGTAGAGACTTGAATTTTAGCTTAAAATGAGCGCAAACATCACATTTATTTTATTTTATTTGAAAATTCAATTAATCATTATATATATAAATCAAGCGTTACATTTCAGCCATGCAAAATTACAATGACATATTTTGATTACTAAACGATAAATGGTACTGCAATATAAGTTGCTTAATGTTTGGCCGGATGACAACTAACGAGAAAAATAAACTTAATTATATAATAATTAATTCGGCTGAACCAACACATAGCAAGAGCCACATTAACGTTGGGGCCGTCTACCAAATTTGAATGACAAACATTAACAAGAAATCAAACATATCATAAATAATTATAAGGATTTTGTTCATTACAATTCCGTCACAACTGATAAAGAAAAAAGAAAAGGACAAGCAGATAGGAAATTGGACGGACAGAATTGTAACCAACAAAAACAAATTTCTGAGACTCATAAGACTGATGAGCTAATCTGGCCAGACTGTATCGGCAGCCCAGAGGTACTTGATCAGTTTGGCCTTAAAAGTAGAAATCCGCTCTGACTGCCGGATACATACTGGTAGACTATTCCATTTCAGCATAGATCTATGAAAAAAGCTATTTCGGAAGGCATCCGAGCAGGGCACAGTGGTACTCATGTAAGTTGAAGTATCCGACATATCAATTATTTGAGCATTGTGCCTAGTGTATCGGGTGCCCTCTGGACGGCATAGGACTATATATGTAGGGAGCAAAACTGGAATTATGCTATTCACTATTTTATAGAAGGTCATAAGATCGTTATAAATAAACTTCTGTTTAACAGGGAGAATATTTAGTTTCTTTTGCTCTGTAGCAAGTTTATCGTCATTATAACTGGAGTAAGGTTCACCATTGATCCATTTAATAGCCCTCTTTTGGATAGCAACAAACTGTTGAAGATGAGTTGCAGATTGAGGGGACCATATGACAGAACAATGTTCAAATATAGACCTAATTAACGCTAAATAGAACGATCTTTTCTGCCTTTTATCAGTAGTGAAATGACATGTTCTCTTAAGTAGTCCAAGTCTAGATGTAGCTTTGGAAACAAGCGCTTTACATTGTGCACCCCAATTAAACCTGGAGTTTATTGCGACTCCTAAATCTGACTGAGAGGGCACAAAGTCAATATCACTTCCAGAAAGTTTATAAAAGAAGGTATTGAATGGCAAGTTATCCAGCACGTTTCTTTGCAGGGACACAGAGAGGGCTTTGCACTTTTGTGGGTGGAACTTCATTCGATTTCTCACTGACCAATCATATAATCTATTGATGTCATTTTGGATTATGTGATGGTCAGGGTAACCAAGAATCTCCCTCCAAGTTTTATTGTCATCTGCATAAAGGGCGATATTGGTGCCTTCAGAGACACAGGAGAACATGTCATTTATAAATATTACAAACAATAAAGGGCCAAGTATAGAACCTTGAGGGACACCAGACCGAACTGGTAGAGAAGAAGACGTTTGGCCTCCTATCACTACTTGTTTTTGTCGCCCCTCAAGATAGGACTTAATAAATTTAAGCATTAGTCCATCGACATTAAAAATATTCTTTAATTTACTTAAAATGAGGTCATGCGAAACGCTATCAAAGGCTTTCGCAAAATCAAAATATATTATATCAGTCCTGGACCTGTTATTCAATGCAAGTGCAAGATTGTCCGTGAAAGGTATCATTTGGGTTGTGCATGAACGTTCATTAACAAAACCGTGTTGTCGGTCATCCAACAGATCAGAACACGCAGCGTAGAATGCAGTCTTTATGCACCTTTCAAAGACTTTCATTACAAGAGATGTTAACGAGATAGGCCTGTAGTTCTCGACCGAAGACTTATCGCCCTTTTTGTGCACTGGTACTACAAGTGCCAGCTTCCAATCAGGGGGTATGCATCCGCTCGAGAAAGACAGGTTAAATAAAACACTAAGTGGGTATGCAAGGCTTTGGGCACAGTTTTTGAGGACTCTCCCATGAATCCCATCAGGGCCAGGGGCCTTGTTAGGATCTTTTTAAGAATCAACAGAACATCTTCTCTACTAAACACAAGACTTGAAAAACAATCATCACGAAAATCTATGTCAATGCCATAATCGCTCTCTTGAGAAAACTGCTCATAAAAATATTCGTTAAAAAGGGCAGCTTGATCAGATGGATTGTTTCGAAAGCGATTATGATATTTGACAGTTTCAGGGATCCTGGTTGACTTTGATTTAGATTTAACGTAGGTCCAGAATTGTTATATACAACTTATAAAGCAATATAAGCCCTTTAATGCGTCGAAGCGGCGAAGTCCTCCAAATTATTAATGGAATTATCGGATATTTATAATTCAATATGTATTGATTCTTCTGTGGAAAATATAAATTGTATTTTATTTTTAAAAATTGTATTTTACTTAATAACATCTGCAATCTTAGAAAATTGTTGTCATACGTTGTATGACCCGCCGCGCACGAAGTGCGCGGCTCCCCCTGTATCGTCGAAGACGATACTATAGTGAAGCGACAGTGGGGGTCACCACGTGATACAAGAAAATTGTTCATTACATTTTATGTTGTTATACGTTGTATGACCCGCCGCACACGGGTGCACGGCTCCCCCAGCCCCCTGTATCGTTGAAACTCTACACTATAGTGAAACGACCGTGGGATCACGATGTGATACCAATTTATGACCAGACATGACATTTTAAACACGTTGATCATCTTGTTGATATTTCGGAAGAGGTAGTTTCTCCCCCAAAAAACGGAAAAAATTTAAACTAGTATCATTGATCATATATCTGTCAAATTGCAAATATGTATAATAACACACGATTCCCAAGAAAAGTTACCGGCTGGTGGTGGTACTAGAGTTGGTTTGATTTAAACAGACGGCTAGACCTCGCGCGCGACAACAAGCATGATTTGCACGCGTGGTACATTCCAATGTTCAAGCAGCTACCACGTGACACAATTCAGCCAACCAGAGTACAGGAATCTGCAAAGTTAAAGTTGCAAACTTTTGATCGGCCCTAAATGGGACTTTTCTGAAGATCTGAGATAATTGAACAATTACGTTGTCTTGAATTTTCCTCCTGGGAAGGTAACGTTACTTTTAAAAAAGGAACATGTTACAAAAAACCGTAAGTCTCCAACTCTTTTTTGTATCACGTTGCGACCCCCATGGTCGTTTCACTATCGTCCTGACGATACAGGGGGAGCCGCGCACTTCGTGCGCGGCGGGTCATTCAACGTATGACAAAAGTGCACTATGAGGCGCAAAATTAAAATGCTGCGCTTTTATGCTTTTTGGACGAGATATTTCGCAGTATTTTGTTAAATGTTACTGGGCCGCGCTCAGCTTATCATTCCGCCAAATCTTTATTCGGTTTATAAACATGATAGCCTGAGGTCCCCGGTAAAAAATTTCGCGATAATCGATAACGATTTTTGGGAAATTATCGCCGATAATTATCGGCCGGTAATATTGAATATCAAAGGCAATATTTATTTGTCAATTCTTCGCAGCTCGGCGAGGCCTTGACGGATGTTACTCGTCTAAATTTCTTTGAAGTAGCGTGCGCCGCTTTCTTCTCGAAATGCCCGATGGCAAGTGCTACGAAGTAGCGCGCGCCGGGCCAGATCATTAACAAAGGTCAAGGCGAGGCCCAGTCTAGTATAGTAGTAGCGCATTTTGCAGACTAGATGTAACTACGAGTACGTGGTTACGAGAAGCATGATTGAGTGCACGGCGCGGTCCAGTAACGCATCACGCTACAAAGGTAATATTGAAGAAGGTCACTTCCCCTTCAAGAATGAATCAATTTAGTAGCTTCATTTTGAAAACAAAGGCATACATTATCATAATTATGTAACTTATAATTATAAAAATTTAGTAACTACATTGTAATTTTCATGCAAAAATTTCCCATGCCAACAACATTTTTATTTGTTGGCTACATGATTTTGTATCTTTTTGTGGGTTATAAAATAGTTATTATTTCTATAGAATGTATATATATTAGAATTTGTGTGATATCCTTTATCCAATATATATTGGATAAAGGATATCACACAAATTCTAACAGCTATTGTAAGTGTAACTCATTAACCAGTAAATCTATCCTAAACCATTTTTGAAAATAAAAGCTCGC